GTTTTCATCCCCCCACGGAAAAAGTGGTAGTGGTGGTGATAAAGAAAGTAGATCTGTATAAATCATAAGTATTTTTGTGTAGAGGGGGGACGTAAGCATGATTTCCTTTCTTGTTTTCTTTTCGCATGACTTAGGCACGCATTTTTTCTCTATCTCCGACGTGTGATTTCCAAGTCGCAACAAGAATAATGCTTCATTTCCTCTTGATCGCCTATGCGTACTTAGCTATATATCCTCTGTTTATTCAAATTTACCTCTCCCATTATGTAATTTCTTTTTCCTTCCCCTTCCCCTTTTCCTCCTTGCTTTTGCTGCGCTCTCTCTCTATAGCTAAAGCATCTATTTTATTGATGAGTTCCTCTCTTGGGAAGTCCTTGCAGCGCACCAAGCGCGCGAAACAACTCCAGAATCGCCAGAAATATAAAAGTTTGATCGAAGCCGAGCGCGATGCCGCCTTAGAGGCGGAGCAGCTACGACAATGTGGGACCGGCCGCGCGGAGCCCCTCAAGTCCATTTGGGAAACAAACGATTTGGATAACTTCCTCTCCATCGCGGACGCACGCGAGGAAGGGTACTTCGCCGAGCGCAACGTCCGCGTGGTGATTGATGGCAAAGTTCACCTCATCAAGGATGACAAAATAGTTCCCGAAGAGCACGTCGAAAGCGGCGCGCGAAATTGGCTGGAGTTGAGCGCGCAGCTCACGATCCCTCGGCGCCCTCAATGGAGTTACGACATGTCCGCCGCGGCGATCCAGGAATTGGAGAAAAAAGCCTTTCTCGACTGGCGTCGCTCCGTGAAGGCGACGGAGGAGCAACACAACGTGCTCGTTACCCCGTATGAAAAGAATTTAGAAGTCTGGCGGCAGTTATGGCGGGTGGTGGAGCGCGCCGACGTCGTGGCGATGATTTTGGACGCGCGGAACCCCTTGATCTTTCGCTCCGCAGATTTCGAATCCTACGTCCGGAGCGTTCCCAATCGACTCGGGCAGCCCAAACAGCTCGTGTTCATCCTAAATAAGGCGGATTTGCTCACGGAAACGCAGCGACGGGTGTGGGCGGAGTATTTTCAATCTCGCGGGGAAACCTTCTTTTTCTTCTCCGCCCGCCCGCGGTCGAAGGAGGACGCGGCCGCGGAGGATCCCCTCCATCACTCCCGCGAAGGCCCCATCCGGGCGGAAGACGACGAGGGGGAAACGGATGAATCCGGCGACCTCGCCGAGCTCGCGCGGGAGGTGAACGCCCCCCCCCCTCCTCCCCTTCCCCCTGCCAAACCCGTCAAATCCCGGCGGAGTGGCCTGAAAGCGCTTCGCCGGCCCGTGGAGGTGGGGAACGCCTACGAACTGCTGGACAAACGCCACGCGCGGCGTGGGGGAAACCCGGGCGATGGGAGGGGATCCTCCCTTCCCGCGATCCCCCCGTGGACCACGGAGGAGCGCTCGCGGGATGCGCGGCTGGGAGTGGGGGCCCCCTCCCCCCTCCCCTGGGCGGTCCGCGACGCGGCCGGCCTTCTCGACGAATTCGCGCGTCTCCGAATGGAGGCGGGGAAAGCGGAGACGGAAACGGCAGAGGAAAA